CACCCCACATGTCTCCACTCCAGTCTCAGAGACTTAAGTGTGATTGAATATTTTATATATGCCAGCAGCTTGTCGGTGAAACATTTGCATGTAGCGAGGGCAACGCGAGCTCTTTTGCTTCAATTCACCCTCGAAAGGCGTTCACCGTTTTGAATTGTGTCCTCCGTGCGTGCATCCTCGCGTCAGCGTGCGTGCGCTAACAGAGGAGGCTGCGATTCAGAACAGACAAATCTTGACAGATAAGACCGCTTAACAAAACGCGCAGTCGAAACACATAAAGCAGCAAAAGCACAGACTGCATGCGCGCGGTGAACAAACGCATATGGGCAAACACAGTGCGCACACACACACACACACACACACAGTTTTACCCCACACACACACACTTGAGTAGGACACCGGGTAGAGTGCGTTCCGCCGATCATCTCCGTCCCTCCCCTCAGCAAGCAGATTGCCTGCGCCGCTGACGACAGCCAGTCGCACAGTGTTGTGAGCGCGAGGCTGTGGAGAGACTGCATCAAGGAGCGAGAACTGCGCGCTTTGCATCGGGAACTGTGTGGGAGTTGTTCTCTCTCTACCTGCCTTTTGCGTCGCTTCTTTATTCTCCACACTCGCCATCGGACGCCAGTTCAGGGAGCACCGGGAGTCCCATTACCGAGGGAGGATCGCACCGTGTATGCGTCCGTCGGCTGCGTGTTTTAACTACAGCTGTCATCTGAGAACTGCGGCGCTGCCGTTGTGAAGGAACTCATTGGAAATCCGCGTGAAACGACTGTCTGTTCTCTAGCCTTTTTTTTTTTTTTCTTCTAAAGCTGTCTTTCAAGGTGATGGACTTGAGATAGTGCGTCTTAATTTGAGTGTTGGTGACTGGGAGTTGCCTTCGGGGAGAAATGCGAAAGGATGCTTGGAAGCAGTGAAGGATACAGCAGGTGAGTATCCGATTAAGAGCGCAAAATTAGGGGGGGGGGGGTTAGTGTTCTCAGTGTTTATTCTCATGTCGATGCAGTTTAATAATGTGTGCTGAGGCCAGGATTTTAGAAAGGGTAACCAGAACGCAGCGGTCTCTCTGGGCTACTTTAAGAGAAAACGTCCCTCACATATGTGAATTGTACTCCGGCGACACCAATCCGTAAGAGAAGCTTTTCTTAAAACTCCCCGGATCTCATTCCGATGTCAAATCGGCTGAAATGTCCCTGCAAGTCCTCTTTGATTGGGGCAGAATCGGTTGACAGGACAGAAACGCAAACGGGGGACTTGAGTGTGTGGTGAGGCGCGTCCTCTGCAGGTAAAAATGCATCCAATACTTGTACATTCGAGATGGATTCATAGATGTGTTATCCATGCACATTTTTGACAGTCTTATCTGCTTTGTCTGCTCCTTTCTATGTGTGCTTGTCTGGGAGGAAGAAGGCTTAAGCCATTAATCAAATGTAATTGTCCCGCGAATGTGAGTGCGTGCGTGTGTGTGCGGGGAGGGAAAGGGGGTGAATTACAAAATGTTATCTTAATCTAGCCTTTATTTGGCCATGTATAGGCTCTGCTGAGATAACACTTCTCATTGTGTGGAAGTGTGAGGCAGTCGTGATCCTCCCCATATGCCATTTTATTCATCTGCAAAAGATGGCTATCTGTGAGATGGGCAGTGTATAAAAGCAGAGCAGGCTGCTGCAAAGGAGTCGTGCATTTCATTGATCCTCACATAATGACTTTGGAATTATTCTTTTTTTGGGGGGGGGGGGGTGTTTTCAGCAAGACAACAGTGATGGGATCTATATATAGCGGCGACTGCACAGGACACAGGGTGAAACTTGTGTGTGTTTGGTGCCACACGCCGTCTGCTGTTTGTTATTCAAGGCACATTTGCAGAGAATAATATGAGAGTGGCCCCTGAAATGTACCCCCCAACCCCCCCTTTATTTTCCAGCACTGCCTCTTATAATGACACACCAAAACAGTTGCGGCAGAGTATCAGAAGACTGTGATGCTGTGCCCGCGGACATTCATAAAGTGCTGTAGCTCTATTGGTTATAAATAGCCGGAGGGAGCGGACAGCCAGATAGAACAGGAGCAGCCTCCCGTAGCTCAAGCAGCAGCAGCACAGCCTCTCCCGGCTTTTTCTGGGCTCACCATCCAAGATGATAGATAGCTGATGCACTTGGAGATATCGCACAGATGCAGGGGCAAAGGGTGTGGCACAGGAGGCTTCATATGTGCATTATAGCCCATACTGAGTTCACTGTTTTCCCCCAGAGAGTTATTCACTCTCTTTATTATTATTGTTTTCCCTCTGCTTGGTCTCCAGGTCTCTTTGTGGCACTCTATAGTGACTTTTGTGAACTTATCACACCTGCTGTTTTTTCATTTGAAGCCTATAATGTTCACTACATTCCTGTTGTAGTTTTTTACGTTTTATACATCAAATACAGACTAAAAATCATATTTCTGTAATTTTTCACTTATTTGATGATTGGGATGCTGCTGACTCAATCATTGCTGCCTCGCAACAGCCGGGAGGCTGCTGAGATGTTTGATCTGCTTTGTCCAAACGCCCCGGCTGCCTTCATTAAACAAATGTGCGGCCGCTGACCTTGGCCTTCTACGAGTCTTCAATAGGATTCACCTCTGCCCTGCAGTAGGCTACAGGACACAGTAGCAAAGACACCTCCCACCTTTCCTACTACATTATGCTGCTGTTGACATTCTATATTGAATTACGACACGTTGATCAATGTTTGCAATAAGCTAAGCCTCTACACAGTGGCCGATGTAATACAGAGTATCAGATGTCATAGGGAAATCATGCTCCTCATAACTGCATTATGTTTCTATGAAGGTTACATCTAGGCATGTTTGTAATTCAATTGCATGCAGAAAGAATGGAATAGCAAACCAATAAGACCAGAAGAAGAGTGCCTGCGCCGCATTTTAATAACTCGTGAAAAAGAAAAATCAGCTTCTGCTTGGATTTGTCAGCAGACCGGGGCAGAGGAGCAGTTGAGACGGAGTGGGTGGCGATGGAGTGGACCATCACGTTAGTGATGACTGATCACAGGCTTGCCTTCTCACAACACACCAAATGACCAATGGTGTTCGTGAGCGGGGATAATGCTGGCTTGTGACGTGTGAGTGAGTCTCTTGGAGACACTCACCCTGGGTGTAAAGCTGACACCTACTGCATTGACAAGGTGTTTATTAGCTCCCAGTTGTGAGGCCATGATGCCTACATGATTGTACAATGACACAGCACTGGGAGTTTTCACCCGCGAAGGCAATTATGTTGTCTTCATAAGACCCGGCTGCCATTCCACTTGATGCCACTGCCATGATACATCGATGCCCTGGGCTGGATGGCGTGTTTACAGAAGGCCCGCGGTGGGATCATAGTTGCTGTTTGATGGGAGGGGGAGGGAGGTTCTTGTTCACAAGTCACTGTTGTCCTTGGTGGTTGGCTTTTGACATAGATAAGCAGACAGAGCAGCTACAAGTGCTGTCTAAACGTCATCATTTTTGGTAGTGCAATCCCTTTGAACGTACGTTTTTTTTAGAGACACAAACGACACCGATACTGACATTGGATAACTGTCCAATACTGACTCGCATATCAGGTATCAGTGACAATGGGCAGATCAGGTATCGACAATTGACTAAATTCATAGTTTTGTATTCGTCATTTTTTGTTTTACAAAGTTAATAAGGCAGTTTAAGTTAAGCCTGATATTGCTTTACACATACAATAATGATCCTACTCACTTACACACAGTGAGGCATACAGCTTGTTAAACAAACGCTGGTATCTGATCAGTACTCTGTATCGGCCGATACCGAAAGCCTCGGCATCAGGACTTAAATAGTCCGATCTGTGCATCCCTATGATTTTTCACCTGCAGCACAAACACATGGCACAGATCTAAAACAGTAACAACGAATACATATTTCATTTATTCCCCCAAATTATAATGAAGAATCATGAGATTGTTTATTAATATGGAGCATGCCTCTGCCAGATGTACTTTATTGTGCTGAACTATGCCGGACAAAATGTGGATGGTTCTTTGCAAAAGTGTCCGTAAAATGTTGTTTTTTTTTTTTTTACTCTTACGTTAATGGTTGCTCAGGCCTCTAGGTGATCAAAAATCAAAAAGCTCATGCTCTCGGCTCAAAGATAAATCATGCTACTTTAAAAAAGCTCTGTTGAATATCTATTAATGTAGTCTGGGTTCCTACAGTGAATACTGCACGGCATAATCACACATTTGGGCATGCAGCCAATGCTTTGCCCTCCATTTTACCTTCATCAGAGTGATAGCAGCTTTCACTGTGTAATTTCTGCAATACAATTTGTCCAACTCAGATTGCATTGCCCATAATCTTGTGGTGGTGGAGACATTAACATAATGATTGTAAACATTAGTCCAGAATTTAAACAAAATAGGTGACATTGTATTTATCATATCAACGATACTGGTCACAAAGCTCCAAATACCACATTCATACCTACAAAGTAGGTTCCAATATGGTCGATGCTATGCGAAAATATCCACAACTTACTGTGACTTGGTATTTATTTTTAGTGGCTGTTTGACAGATATTTCAGGACTCATTCTAATCAAAAGCAGCAAGAAAAAAAAAAGATTATGACCAATTTTGATTGTAAGACAGCCTGTTAAATGAATGTCAAAACGCCATGCATTCACATTAACCTGTACCATTCACCATTAAAGGATCCATGTAAGAACAGCTCGTACAAGTGCACCTAATTATGATCTGCTTCTCAGTGTTGTGAAAAGTGTCTTTAGAGAGTTTCTGCAAAAGGTGCCTTGAGAGAGAGATTTCAGCTTTTATGCTTGTGTGAAAAATCAAGGTGACCACAAAGAAAAGCTGGATTACCAAATGTTTTCAACAGCCAGCAGAAACGGATTCTTGGCTAGAGTGTGCTAAGACTACTTTGCCTCCATAAGTCTTGACCCTCCTAAGTCTGCACGTAAATACAGCATCCATATGGATTTTATTCTAATGTTGCTTGACCATTGCCAGCATTTTGAAATGATATTCTAAACTATGTACAATAAAGAGATGAATAGTTCCTAATCATTGCCAAGGTTGGAAACACATCCTGCTATAAACCACCTGGAGTCCCTTGGTGGATGCGTCATTAAAATAAAAGTCATCAATGGTGGACGAGGGTTGGGTCAAGGGTTGGGGAGGTGTTATTGTTCTTACTGAAGGTGTTCACCAACCCTCTGGAGAGGACGTTTGTATTCACTGCATAGGGACTAATCAGTCCCTATGCTGGCACCCCTGTTGCCAGGCAGACTTAAACTTAGACACCCATCTTTAAGATGATTGTGCGATTAGCATGTATGTCACTCTGGTAAGCTGCTAGAGGGCTGTAAATTACGTTGGCGGAGGCATTTGCTGCCCTCAGACTGACAGCTCGAGAGAGGAAACTAAAGCCTAAACACCGGAATAGAAGTTTCTGAAGTAAGTGTCAAAAAGCACTCTTTAACTTCACCCATTTCCCGAAAGCTGGAGCATCAAATGTGACTTTTTTTAAGTGTGTTGTCCATATCCATTGTTATTTACAATGCCTTACTTTCCATCTGAATGTTATTGTCCCAATTGATATTCACACATGCATTTGTAACTCAAGTCAGAATGAATTGTCTTGCAGTGGTAATGATTGTTATTGTGCAGCAAAATTACAACGTGTTGCATCTGTTCCACTGAAAGCATCTATTCAGACGGTTCTCATCAGTGGCAACTGGAAACCCATTGGTGGGACAACAGAAGCTCCACTTACACAGCCACACTTGAATGGAGCGAATTATATTTTCCATGAGTAGGAACAAGATTTGTGTTGCTGCCCCACCTCCCTGATGTAATAGCTGTTAGAATACCTTGTCGAGATCCAGAGTTCACCGAGTCCGGT